TTAATTTAAAATAGAATAAGTCAAAGTCTTTCCATTTGATTTACTTTAAAAAAAAATGTTCAATTATGTAAGATAAGCATTGAAATTTTAATTATTTGAAAGATTATAAAGTAACGATTTCTTACTAATTTGTGATAAGTTTATCGGATATACTGATTCTTCTTGTTTTTTCTTTGCTTTCCGTTGACGATTACGAATTTGTTTTGCTGTTTTTTCATCAGTTTTCTTTCGTCGTTCCATAATTAATTAAGATAGAATTTCCTATAAAAACTTTGGCAATTAACTAATCATAAGTCACTAGAAATCACCAACCAACGCGCGCAAATTTGGTCGATTAATCGTCTCTAGATCATAACCAATAAAAAAACTCATGTGTCGCTAGATATAAATCAAGACGAAATTTTAGCGTTCTTTCTTTATTCTCAAAGAAGAACGACGAAGGATAATTCATTCATATTTCTTTATAGATAATAATCAATGAATGTCGAACCAATTCGTGCTTCTCCTACAATATCTACAGAAGAACCTCATCCATTATCGTTACCATTATTTTTATCATTGTCATCATCGTCATTAAAACCATTACGTGAACGTAATCGAACAAATCTTAAACGACGTATTAATTTATCACGTAGTCAAGTATTAAGTACTGATTTTGAAAATGAAGATAATCTGTCAACAACAAATAATATCAATAAAATAACAACGAATTCTCAACCACCATCAACACGTTTGTTCTTTTTTTCCTTAATTTTATTTCTTCAATAAATTTTGTTTGTATTTTTTAAGCAACTATTCATACACATACAGAACTTTATTCAAAAACAATTAGTCCAAAAACTCCATCACCTATTCATACAACAGTTACATGTAGTCAAGTATGGGAACGATTAGCATCAAATGAAGAACACCAAAATTCTACATCATCTCAACCAAATATAACACCAACAACATCAACATCTAGTTTACCGACACATATTTCTTTTTCATATGATCCTAGTGATAATGATAATGATGATGAAGGAGAAGATATATCACATGACGATAAAGATGATTTTCAATATGTACCTGTTAGTAGTCAATCAAAACTTGTTCAATTTCAGTTTTTAACATTTGCTAGACAACAACAATTAGATTTAAATAGTGAAGATGAAGAAAAAGAAGATACAATTATCGATCAAAATATGCCAGAAGAAGGCGAAGATGATGATGATGAAAAAGAACAAGAAGAAGAAGAGGAAATAGAACAAGAGGTAAGAGATGAAATAGAAGGAGTGGATTTATTGCAAGGAAAAAACAACATCATGGTTTTTAATGAACTAATTTCTTTGAATATGAGATTAGTTATGTAACTTGACGGAGGCTCAATTCCTTCTCTCTAAAAGGTTTTCAGTCTTCCTTGCAAATGGTTGAGTTTTGCTTAAACAGGGACTAGAACCTTCTTTACAAGCGTTATTAAAGCGTCTCCGTCTCCTTGATTGACAGGATCAGAAGACCGAGTCTACATCAATCTACAATTTTTTTTCTTGTTGCACTACTACTTCAGATCAATTTTATTTGGTTTTCAAATCTGAATACTTTTAGAATCGTATATCAAAAAAACGGAAACGATCAATATCAACGACGCATTCACTCGATAATATATCTACTCTTGCAACAACCGACAATGATACAATCGCATTATCGTCAATAAGTAAACAACCACGTACAAAAAAACCTAAAATAAAAGATCCTAATGCAAATTTTCAACGTTTAAATATGCGAAAAAAACATTTTTCACATGCAAAAAAACATCAAGTTGCTAAACATAAGCGTAATGCATTTTATCGTCGAATGCGTCATGCCGGTGGTAATAAATAGACATTCTTATCTGCTGATATCTTTTTTTTTCTTCTATTTCTCAAAAAAAAAAGTTCTTTTTTTGTATTTTGATAAAGTAAAAGAATATATGTATTATATACAATTTTAGCTATTTGTTTCATTACAGTCCTGGAGTTGTAGTTCTATTAAAACTGAAAAAAATCTCTGTTGCTCGATCATCAAGACCATAAATTTTTGGCATCCAAGTTGTTGCAGCAAGAAATACAACAAGGAAACCAATAATATTCATTACAATACCAGTTTTGATCTAAAAAATACAATGAGAAAAGGTGTATTCTTCTTTTTTGTTTGAATTGACTATTAATCTTACCATATCAATTACTCGGACACAACCAGAACCAAAAATAATTGCATTTGGTGGTGTGGCTTTCAAAAAAAACCAATATAATTAATTATTTAATAAATTTTTCTGTTTATCACATACCAATAGGTAACATAAAAGCAAGAGATACAGCTAAAGTACATGGAAGAATAAGAAAAGCGGGGTGAATAAAAGATGAACGTGCCTATATAACATAAAGGAAAAAATTCTATTTTTAATTAAAATGAAATACTCAAACATACCACAGAATCAAGTACGGGCAAAAAAATACTTGATGTACTTAAATTTGATGTTACTTCAGTAAAAAGACCACTAATAACAATAACTAAGACAATAACAGCAGCACGTGGTATGCCATCTAAAAATCGAAGTGCTTGTGCAACACTGTCTGATAATTTTGAAGTCTTATTTATCAATAAAAAAACATTGTTCAATTACAATTTTTAATAATAAAAAATACAAACAGTGAAAGCTAATGCAACAGAAAGACCAGCACCAAGTAGAAATATAACACCCCATGATATATTTTTTACTAAAACATTCCATTGGACAATTGGTTCGTATTTCCAATTTCCTTATATACAAGAAATGTATTATATAGAATTTTTATTTATTAAACAAACTTTGAAAAGGATTCGAATTAGGTAATATTAATGGAAGTAAACCACAAAATACTGCAACTGTACTATCACTTGTATAGCTATGAAAAAATTCAAGAAATTAATTTTTTTTTAATACAAAGGACTCTGTCTAATAAGATGACTACGGTGTATTAAAAAAAATATGGAATAATAAATCCTCACTATCTGTTTATTACCATTACATAAATCCTTTTTTTAGTTTATGAACGTAAGCTATCTTTCCCGCTCATAAATCTTTTGTCTGACGGTTTATTCCGTTCATATACCCCAGAAAGGTTTATATAATGGTAATAAATGACTAGTGAGAGATTATTATTCTATGCTTATTTTTTATAGTACATCTTTCATTTGAAAAGTCACCTATATAGGTTTGTATAGCAACTCGTGACGCATCCTGTAACTATACGAATTGCCAGGACAGAAAGGTACCTACATCAGTTTCGCAATTAGATTTTTTTTGAAGCGGAAAAATTTCTATCTCATAATGATGCGCTCATAATGCTCTATCATTTGATATAAATGGATCTTTCTAAAATGGCAGAATATATTTTCCACTTCGGATCTTTAAAGTATGTCAGTACCGATCAGCAGAACTTCAATCCCCACATCCACACACTTAAGATATTCACACTCAATTGTGAAAATTATTAGATATGCACGATTAAAGACTAGACAAAACTCTATTGGATTAACTTGAAACAACGTCTTATATAAATTGGTTTGGGAATATACGGAATTATAATATTTGATTATATTACATACTATTGCTATAATATTCTTTTACTAGTAAATGATTTCTTAACGTTAAAAACTAATGAAAATACAACTCCCTATATAATATTCGATGCATCACGAGTTGCTCTACGAAATGATTTAGATGACCTTTCAATCAAATGAAGAGTAGTTATCTTATCCGACAGAGTTCTTATCGATAATACTCTTCTTTGAATAGAATATTCCATCCGTGTGTTTCACCAAATTCTCTGGTCACCCATAAAATAATCATAATAATAAAAATAATTCCAACAGTATATTCACTCCACCTAAATATTTCAAAGAAAAATACTTTTACAAATAGGCATTTTTTTACTTATATTTACTTTGGTTTTCCCAGATCCCTATATTGTCTAATTAACATGGCTTTTAAATCAGCTAGCGCTTCACGATCCTCAGGACCAGTTCGACATTTAAATAATCTAAGATAAATGAATAAAAAAAAGAAGATGTTTCTTCTTATTTAATACAAACTCTTGTCTATTATATAATATTTGTAACCATAACCAACATAGAATAAGCATTATTATCCCCACTGGCAATGCAAATAGGAGAAAATTGAGAAAGTTTATATTAAAATTTGTGCCTTTGTATGTACTAAATAAATAACATACAGTAAACAGAGAAGGAAATTTTTTGTTATCTACCTGTCGACAAAACCTTTGACAAAAATATTTGGTCCTGTACCAACAAGACTTGCTAAACCGCCAATAGTTGCTGAATAAGCTGTAGCAAGAAGAAAACCTATGAATATATATATAAGTATTCATTTAAAAAACAATCTGTAAAATACCTTTTCTTAAGTCTTCATATTTTTTTTCATGTGATTCATCAACTTTCGATTGTGCTTGTCTTTGCCATGGTAGTCGAAAACGTTGTTTTACTTCAACATAAACTTCGGTTTTTCTAACATATTCAATAATTTATAAATAATCCGATGTTCATATTTATATACATACTGTTCTTCTATTTGAGATGCATCGAGAATAACTTCTTTTATTGTATCTCCATTTTGTATTTCCGTTTCATTTAATTCAAGGACTTCTATAAACAATAGATTTTTATTATTAATAAAATACGCTTCAATCGTCGTTGAACTCAAAGATATTATCAGTCGATAGACCTCGAAAATTTCTATTCACGAGACTATACATTAAGCCATTTTTTTTGAAAAAAACAAATGTCATTTTGATAGATTCATTCGAAGTTAATCCAAGCTTATTCAAACTCAGAGTTGGTCTGGGTCAGAACGATATATAGTGATGCAGCGTCAACTTATCGAACTGATATTCGATTTTTTTATCAACGATTTGTTACAAGAAAATGTCTTGGTATGCGGCATCATAAATGAAGATTTTGAACGTTTCGTGATTGAAAATATCTTTGAGCTAAATAACGATTGAAGCGTATGTTACTATGTAATACTCAAAAGTTTTATAGTGGTTATTTTATTGAATAATTCTTTTACCATGTACAATGGACGTTGTTTGTTTGATGATTCGCTTTTTATCAGAATAATCTTTTCCGTGACGTTCAAGTTCATTAATAATAGCTAATGATACAGGTAACATAATTGATGCTGCTGCTGAATTATTAATCCACATAGAAAGAAATGCCGTTACTGCCATCAAACCACCCAAAGCCCTGATCAATTGAAAAACATACAAAATATTTTAATCAAATAAATTCAAAATTCCTCCAAAAATCTCAGAATAAAAAAAAATCCACAATACCATTTCGTCGACGTACCAACATGACGCAATACGAACAGTGCAATACGTCGATGTAGATTAACTGATTCTACAGCATGAGCAAATGCCAGACTACCAAAGAAAAGTGCGATTATATCTCTGAAATACAATGGTGCCACCTCTTCAGCCTTTAAAACACCAGCCTGTGTATAAACATCAAAATTATTTGAAAATTTGTTCAAACAAACAAAAAAAAATTTGTTTACCATTGGAAAAAATATGAGTGGTAATAAAGATGTAACTGGTAATGGTATTACTTCAAATATCCAATACAGAGAAAGAATAAGTACAATATAACCACATCTTGCTTGCTATAACGATATTATTGAAGATAAATTTTTAGAAAAATTTATAACATACTGAATTTTTAATAATAATAGGCAATGGAAGAAGAATTAACGGTATGAGTATAAGAGCTATTAAACGCCATCGTTGTTTAATCGAAATAAGAACTTGATTTGGCATTCTAAATTGTAATAATATGATTACACATGTTTTTCATTTACTACAATTTATTTTTATTGAAGAAAAAAAATACAAAACAAATGGAAAACGAGACTACCTGTGCGACAAGATATGCTGTTGTATGTCAATAAAGCATTTTAGTGATTTATTGTGTTCTTACACTACTAAGAGTGAATAATAAGAGTACATGAAGAAGAGTGTTAATAATGATATTTTTCTATTCTGCTAAATCCAATGTCAACAAAATGAAATGGTTTTATTAGTTTAGCTGTCTGATAAATATAAGAAGTCAGATGTAGCATGACAAAAGAAAAACAAAAATGTTTAAAGTAGTTCAAAACATTATCACCTGTATGTATAGATTTTTAAAATAGTTGACAAGAGCTTCATAATCGTTATTTTTTTCTAATCCTTTTGATATTTTTCTAGTATATTTGCGTATTTGTATTGAAATAATTGTAAAGTTGCAAAGCTATTCAAAATGACTAGATTCTCTCATACATGCAGAGGAGAGTATGGTTTTAGTATGATAATGAATGATATTGATTTTCATGTTTGAAAACAATCATTTCTAGATACTTTTGAGTTTGAGAGAGTGAATGAGATTTTTTAAACAACAGACAACTGAAATGAACTTCAAAAATGGTTAGATTTAATGAAGCTTACAAAACTTTTTGTATTTTTGTATAAGAGATTTTTGGGTAAATCTTGCACGACACGGGTAATTTAACTGATACATGGTACTAGTAAATGAGCGTTACATTTTGTTGTCTTTACTTTCTCTTCTTTATATAATATTGTGTGTGTAATGTTGGCCTAGACGATGACTGTATCTCACTCTCCCCTCTTATGTGACCGTACTCAGGGATCCATATGTATAAGAATATATACAATTGAAATGATGAAACAATTCAACAAGTATCATTATCGAGGGTAGCGATATAACTACTCTTTCAATTTAGTACATACATCGAATTATCTAGCATTACAGATTAAAGAATTTTGACAGTGAAAATGGTGTCGAAAACTATAACTTATGGCGAACAAATCTTGATTTTTATGAAAGTAGTGAATTTATTTCATCCGTTTTTATTACTTAAGACTCACTATATTGAATCTGAAACAATTGAAAGAAGTAATCACCGTATGTTTTGATCATAAAAGACTGATATGAAGAAGGAGTTAAAGGAAACATCATCGTATATTCAGTTTATTGCTACCTTATTAGGAAGATAAAGTAGTAGTAAAAAAAAGCATTATTACCAGAATAATACAACAAAGAACAAACCAAAAGATAAGTTTCGATGGAGTTAGATGTTGATGAGATTTTGTATGTGCGAACACGTATGTGTAGTTTGTGCAAAATATTCTCACGAGCAATGATAGAAATTTTATTTCTTTCATCATGATCTGCATTTCATCGTTTGAAGCGATTGTGTTTCTCATCGCCGAAAACGAGATCATCGAAACGAACATTATCGAACAGAAAGATCATCGAATTTCTCTCGATGATCTATACCAGTGATCTTCGTTCACTTTTTTGTTATATACCATAGAGAGAGAGAGAGAGTGGCTATTCAACTACGATGCATACATTATGACTTACGATCTGATCTTTTCTTAGCTACTAATTTAGGCACTAACTTATTTAGTTAACAGCTTAGTTGCTAACTTAACTTAATTTCTAAGTCAACTTAGGAACCTTCTTGTTAACTTAAATTAGTAATTAATTCAGCATAATACTATAATTACCAAGGACAATTAGTATCAATACATATGATATTAGAATGTTTCTAATACTGCAAGTATAATATCAGAATATGGCTGAAAGTGATATTGCCGAAATATGGATTGCCGAATTTCGGTAATTTTCATTTCGATGATGCGACTTTCAGCGAAATATATGCTAACTAAATTTCATCCTGTTAATTAACTTTTAAAATATCTGTTCGAATATAATAATAGATATTGAATTGAGTTCTTGGATATTATATTGACCTTTAAACGCTGTTTTTGGATTCAACCGGACTCGTATCGTTGGTTTTCTTTTCTAGACGAATCTCTTTTCTAATCGGTAGTCTTCAAAAAAATGCACGGAATCTAATTATATCAAGTTTAGTAAATAGGTCGTACAGACAGAATATTAAAGGCGGACAGGAGTTTACACTGACTGAAAAGCAATCTTGGTATTATTTACATAGTTTTCAGTCCTTTTAAAGTGGTATCCTGTCGTTCTGGAAGTTTGTTTTCCAAAAGATTCATTAACTCATTGTCGCTAACGATAACTCATGTTTTATTTTCATTTTTTGCCTCAGTGCTACTGTCGTATATCGAACAAAAGATCTATCCTACACGTTTTTCTTCTTCTTTGGAAGTTCATTGAGTTTTAAGACTTCAAATATTGTTCTCACTTGGAAAATCGTACATTTTTCTGATTTTACAGGTAAACAGTAACTACTAAACTAAATCTGAAAACATTCAGGAGGTTTTTATTACTAATGATACTGAAGATTTTGACGACAGCGTTTTCCCAAGGACGATAAATCGAAATCTCATATTGATTATTCTGTTTTCGGAATTAAATTCAATGGTGATCTATTGATGAATGTATTTTAAAAGCAGATGATTCATTGCATTCTGATATAGTGATGATGATATATCTGTTAATATTTTGCTTTAATCATTACAAAAGGGTGACGTTCTGTGCTTAACAAAGAAAAACTACAAATTATGGTTGTTTCTGTGTCATCATAATGGTGAAAATAGGACTATATTCTGTAATTGCAATTCAGAAATTGATGGATGTGTCTATGTGAGGACATCAGCTATAGGTTGTACTATAGTAAAACCTACAATTTCTCTAATCATATTTCAACATCTTACTGTTATCTTGACCCTTTTTTAGACAATATACCTTTTAACTACGAATGTTTTCATACATTAGGACTTATCGCAACATATTCGTGCCTAAAAATCATGACGAAAAATTCTGATTTATGCATGTCTACCAGGATTTCGTCAAAAAGTTAAGCTCTTCTTATTCATTTACATGTGTGTTCAAGTCTGAACTCACAAAAAATCCTTTATTTTATAAAATGAGAGCAGTGTTCAAGATTTAATTGAATAGTTCTATCAGCATATGCCTCTAATCTATCTTAAGTATCGCTCAGCAATCCAAAGTCTATAAAAGCCATCTTGTGATTAGTATAGTAGATGAGCCATAATTTTAACTTCGCTACATCAAGATAGCTAACGACAATAGTTATCACAGGTTATTCGTACACTGGTAATGGAATTTGATAGAACTTGTTCATAATAATAATCGCAAATCGAATTTTTTTATTAGATTATTGAATAATTCAAATGATATTTGAGTTTTTGTTTTCTTGTTGAACACTTTTCGAATAGAAAACTTTTGTTTTACCAGAATGATACGATTTTAATATAGTAGATGAAGGATACTGTGATAAATTTCATAGGTAATATAAGAAAAGCACTTGATAAATAAAGAATCAATGATATTTAGATTTTATATAGATGACTAATACATATGTGTATGAGAATATATTTTAATATAATTATATATGTATCTACATTAGAGCTCCGCGTGGGATGAGATGAGATGAAAAATGGTCCTATACGATGGGATATGTTGCAATATTTTTTGTCCCACATGGGGACAGAGTAACTTTCAATAATTTTCTGTTCCTTGGGATATCATATTCGTCAAATGGTTTTCAAAAAAATGGAACTTATTAATACATTTATCTATTTGATTAATTATACAAAATATTATACTACTGAGAATAATCAAAAAGAAGTGGCGGAGGTACTTTATTTCTGTATAAAAAGCTTGAAGAAACTTTCACTTTGCATGTAATAATAGTAAAAACAATGCTCTATTTTTCTGTGATATATGATCATTCTTCAACTAATATCATTATAATAAAATTTCGATAAGAGTTGTTTGTTATGATCTGTGACGATAAAATTAGATGATATTATCTTCGATGTGTATTCTCCTTTTATTCTTCTCCTTGTGAATATTAGCATTCTCTTCTCTCATACTCACACCACTCTTGAATCAGATGGATCATGTTGACATTCAATAAACGACAACCATGAATCTTCAGAAGACATTTTATCAACTAGTACTAAAATCTGAATGAATTCACTGCTTTTAAATATTACAATAGACAAAATAGCGTCTTTTGTTTATTTATTTATTCATTTATTATTATCCATTTTACTGTACACTAATGGCTAGAATGCAAAGCTACTTATAGAAGATAATAAAATTTTATTGGCATTAACAATACTGAAATAGACAAGAACACCGTCTATGTGAAAAAAATAATAATATATTTTCTTATAAAAAATGTTTATATTAGTAGTTGTTTGCTCCATGGGACGGATAGGAGTATGCCATTCTACGTAGAGCTCTGATCTAGATGTTATTTGATGTTTTTTTATAAAGTATTTTGTTATAACCTGTAGAATATATAATATTTTAACTCATCAAAACTGTCAGATTATTTTCTTTGAAAGAAATTTTTATTGATGACGTCCGATGTAACTTTGTTATATGCTAAGCATAATCAGAGAAGTGTGTAGAATAAAAAGATTAATGATATGCTTGTTTGATATATAAAATAAAGTGCATTAATAATCATTATACTATTAAGAATACATTAAGATGATGTATGGATTTCTTCTATGTTAAATAGTCACGCAAAAAACAAAGCAAATAAACATTTTAGTCATGAAAAGCCAAATATTCGGAATAATCTTACTCACATTTTTTGTGTTGAACGATGCAAAACGGACAAATCATGACAAAGATCTTAATATGAATTCAGTTGAACGACCTTTGATTCAGCGTAGAGTTTGGAATGAAAACCTTTCATTGGAACAAAGAGAAGCTCCAATATTTACTGAAGCTCATCGAAAATTTCAAAATGAGGCGTTGGATATTCATAATGTCTTACGTGCTCGGCATT